CCCTTCCCTTCCCTTCCCTTCCCTTCCCTTCCCTTCCCTTCGTCTAGAGTGCTTGAGGTGATTTTGCTTCATATTCTTTACTTTCTGGTAGCGTGGTCCTTGCGCAACCTGAGGAATTTGACAATTGGCATGTACACAAAGTTCTACGAGATGCAGGCACAGCCAGTACCGACAAGTTTGCCGATTGCAGAGCACCCTGGCACACATTGCCAAGAAAAGTAAACAAGCCAACCCAGACATTCCTGCAGGAGCCACTGGCAAGGCTTGCCTTTCAGCAATGTCGTGCCAGGACTGTGACAGCTTTGGCATTGCACAGCTCACAAGATATGTGTCTTGTCCTTTTGACGTTTGGCCCCAGCCGCGGCTTCAAACCAAGGACATCAGTGATTCTGATGCTGAGACCGACATTGCCTAGCTCACTTTTAGCATTCATGGGCAGAGCTGGATTTTCTCCCTCAAAAGCGAGATGGGCTTGTGGCCTCGGTCTAAGTGTTTCAGGTGAGCTTTCTTCTCAACCTTCACCAAGCCATACCGGCATGAAGCATCATGAAACCTTTACGACTCGCCGCTGCCAAGGACTCGCCGGGCTTCCTTTTTTCATTCTAACCCTGGTTGCTGCCCAGCTGTTTTAGTATTGCTTTTCGAGGAGATCCATCAAGTACCCGAGTATCCACTGGAGTTTGCATTGAACTTGTGTGTCGCTCACTCCCTGGTTTCTTTGCTTGGCACTTTGAGGTGGTCTTCTGGCTGCCAGTCCAAAGAGAAGCTGCTTTCTCCAGCGGATCGGTTGCGGGCTTCTTCCTTTCTGTGGGCTTGCTGATTTTGCAGGCGTCCTTGCTGATGCCTGGACACAGAATGCGAAAGAGGAAGAGAGAGAGAGAGAGTGGGAACTTGGCCCTCCTGCCTAGTAGCGATGCCCTTTGTAACTAGTAGCTGCTTGTTACTAGTAGTAAGGCCAGGAGCTACTGGTAGCGTCCTTGCTCCTAGTAGCGATGCCCTTTGTTACTAGTAGCTTCTGGTTACTAGTATTCTCTTTATGCAGCTTTCCCTTCGAATTCGCTGAGGATCGACCTAAGTGATTTGGACAACCGCCACCGATATTTGTGGGTGAGCTGCTTGTCAAAAATAAGAGCCTTGCCTTGGTGTTTTCAAGAATTCCAGTCAATACGCGCTCTGCAGTCAAGGCTACCGATCAGACTACAGCGACTACTTCTACATGAACCAAGATTTGGAGTTCCCTGGTGTATTTTCTTCCTTTTTAGCTCTTCATTCCACCGCCGCAGTAAGACTGCTGTCTGAACAGACGTGCCATTTTTGCTGGAGGACAAGGGATAGGATCTTGCGGCTTGAAACAACAAAACTTGGAGACTTATGCAGTGGCTCCATTCAATGCATTCTTCTCATTCTGGGCCATTCTAACGAATCGAACATAGACCAGAAGCACCAGATCCTGACACCACTCTGCATGACAAGCGAGAGAGCTCCACCACCAGTTGCACTTGCAGCATCCGTGTTTGCGCTTTGGTAGGAAGAGAGGGCAAAAGGAAGAACAGTAACAAGAACAAAAATACAACGGAAACAGATTGGCAACGTGTTTGGAACAACAAAATAAAGCATTTTGATTTCTCTCTTCTTTTCCCAACACGTTGCGCGTGAGGCTGACGGCCTTGAAGTCGGAGCTCCGGGACGCCGAGCGGCGACAGAGTGGAGAGGTGAGCCGCCAGCGGGATGAGATCGCCCGCCTCACCAAGGAGGCGCAAAAAAAGGAAGAACCAGAAGAAAGAAAAGAGAAGAAAAGAACAGACAAGAAAGGACAGAAAAGAAAAGAGACTCGGAAAACACATAAAGAAATAAAGAAAGAGACTTGAAAGAGCAGCCTACAAAGATCCAAATCGTGGAGAGAACAGATCACATGTTGGTAGTTGTTTCAAGTTGTGGGTTTGAAAAGCCTGAGGTTTTGCACTTTTATGTTTGCAGTGCAATGCCCACCAGCTGAGCGGCTCCGTTTTTGTTGTGTTATTGGATGTGTTTGGTGATGATGGAAGTGGTTTATCCCGCCCACAGGTTCAAAACATAGAAGTGCAGTTGAAGCAAGCCAACGAGATGCTCCGCCTCGGAGACACGCGCCAGAGTTGTTCGCCTCAGTGAGAGGTGGGGAAGTCATGAGAAGAGGTACCTTCCAAGAAGGTATGAGACAGAGGGGATGTGAAGTGATGGGATGGAATTTGGTTCCTTGTCAGGGAAGTCAATAATCAGTGTAAACAAAATATTGCTGAGATCCAAATGATTTGCGCTTTTGAACCTTGGCCCAATCCCAACGCTACCTGGAAGTAACAAGAACGCTGCTCCGAACGTCCGCATTTTTCTGCCCAACTGCCACCAGATGCCTCACCATTTTTGCCCGTGCGCTTTGGAACTTGTTTGTGCCAAGCATCGGCGAACCACGACGAACCCCCCGAAGGTCTGAAGTGCAACTCGCGGCGGCGACAGAGGCATCACAGCACCCGGAGCTCCAAAAACTGCGGGGTGTTGGTGTGGATGGTGTAGTGGGACCGGTGCGGCGGACGCAGCGACTCCGATTCATACTTTTAAGATCTTTTAAGTGATTAGTGCTTTCTTGAAGAACCTCCTGCCCACTATATACTGTAAATATGTCCAGGAGTTTGCTTGCCTCAATTAGCCTGCGCTTCAGCCTCAATGTCGCTGCTTTGATGCATGAAAACACATTCCCCAGCGCCTGCGGCTTTTGTACCAAGTGTAGAGATACAAACTCAACCCCACATGCTTACCATTCGATACATCACCAGGTTTGCAACAAACACAGGTTCTTTTAGCATTCTTGAGTTCATCGATAGTCCGTTTTGATTGGTTGCATGACAGCTCTGAGCCCCACCAGAAAAGCTTGCGGCAATCCTCCAATCAATAGAAATTCTTGACAACTTAAGATTTGCAACACCCTGCCATGACGATGCCTGCCGTGACCCTAGAATGCTGACTTGCATGTATTACTAGGCATCGATGCCAGTCCGTGGAACAGCTTCAGGAGCGGGAACCACTCATAAAGGCACATTTTGCTGGGGACCTCAGGGAATCGAAAGACAGAGTCCAGGCAAGAAGTTTTCCATCGTTTCCCGTGTTTGTACGTCATTTTGCCTCTTAGTTTTGGTGCTTCTGAAGACTTCTCCTTTAAACAGAAACAATATATATATATATACATATGTGCACACACACACGCACATATGTGTATATATATATACATTAAAAAAACAAGGCGAGCCCGCGGACCCAAAAGCAAAAAAAACACGCAACCCAGGAAAAATAAACAAACACACATTAGCAGGCCAAAACGAAGCATCAGCTCCCTCCAGGCTTCGTGGCAACCATGATATTTCAAGCATCGCGGTTCTGGTGCGCATCCGTCCACCCCCGTCTGCCATATACACCCCGTCCACCCCTTGGCCAGTATTGCGGTTCTGGCATGCAACCATCCTGCCGTTTCTGCAATGACTTGGGCTGTCTTCGGCATACACTGCACACATTCTGGACACCCAAGACCGTCATATAGGCCGCGCCAGACAGTTCCACTCGCGCAATAACGTTCCCACGCCCGTCCACCCTCCCATCTCCATCCATAGAACCGTCCACACCCATCTTCCGTCCACGAAAATGCTTGCCCCGTCTCGCTCTGCACCCCCCCTAACGACTAAACTAAACGGGAGCCCAAGCATCGGAGATTCTTTTGGGAAAAGCACGCACATCTGTATTGCTGTGCCAGCGCTACAGTGCATCACATGCGGTAAAATGCTTTCGGGTCATTCGTCGTCTAGTGTTAATTTTTTTTGGCATAGATTTCCCGTGGTGTCGTTGGCATGAGAAAACAAGACGGTTCCCTTTTTAGTCGGGTTGGAGGTTGGATGTAGTATATATATATATATATCAAGTGGCTGTTTTCAATCTCTGCAGCTAGTCTCCAACCCCATTGCAACATGGCTTGAAGCATGGAGCAGCATCAGGCCCCTCATGCTTCGTTCCAACCATCAAATTTCAAGCATTGCGGTTCTGGCGTGCAACAATCCTGCCGTTCCGGCCATGACTTGACTGTCTGGCGCATGCACCGTCTCGCCTTCCTTCCCCAGCCCCGTCCACGCCCATGCGCCTCCCGTCTCGCGCCCCTTTCCTTCCATCCACCGCCGCCCGCGCACCCCGTCTCGCTCCCCTCCCTCTTCCTTCCCCACACCCGCGCACCGGCCCCCCTGCACCGTCTCGCTCCCCTCTATCTTCCCTCCACCGCCCCGTCCACACCCATGCGCCTCCCGTCGCGCCTCCCCCTCTTCCTTCCACAGCTCCGTCCACACCCATGCACCTCCCGTCTCGCGCCCCTCCCTCTTCCCTTCCGCAGCTCCGTCCACGCCCATACCTCCCGTCTCGCTCCCCCTCCATCTTCCCGTTGCAACAGAGTTTTGGTCTGTGGCCAAGGGCAAACTGGCAACGACTAAGCGGCGTTTTGCTTGGCCAATCTTCATTAGATGCATTTCGCGGGCGGATCCGTATGACCAGGTCTATCGTGACTTGTCTTCTGCGAAGGCTGCAACCTACGGTGACGTAGCCGCATCACAAAATGCAAAGCGGAGATACAGTATGTAGTCTTTTTCCGAGCGCAAATCATATGACTTTCGACTTCAACTCAAGCCCTGTTCTGACTGTAGGATGAAGCAGCTCTTTGTGGAGGGGTGATGTTAGTGTAGCTCCCTCTTCCTCTTGCCCTTGTTGGCTTGATGGGCGAGGCTTGTCTAGTCCAATATGATCCGAAGATTATTGGCTGGAACGTTGTGCAGGACTTGCCTTCAAAAAAGGTCGCCGTCTATATAACGATTGAAAAGGGGACAGAGGCTCTGCTCTCATGGCCCCTTGATGATGATATTCTCGGCATGGCTGTCAAAGAATCCAGCTCAAGTCAGTAGACTCAGCATTCAGGATGGTGCAGTGCCACCAAAAAAGCCTATGGCGCTTGTTGCGTGCTGAAAGAGCACATGGATTTGCGCAGCTCTCAGGAGGTGCTGGCCTGCGAAGTGACAAACCAATAAGGCCTTGGATTTTGCTATGATGTGTCAAGGTTGGCTCGCAGTTTCACTTTATCCCTGAGGTTGCGCTCGCGGTGAAGCATGCGACGGCCAAGGGTTGGGATCGGCTAAAAACCCGAAGGCCCCGAGATAAGATGGAGCAGCCGAATCTCCGCAAGCTGAGTTGGCCAATTGCCAGACGCCTGAGCGACGGCCAACAGATGCACCAGAATCACTTTCCACACCAGATCAGCCCCAAGCCCAAGCCATAGGACTGGAGATGGGTCGCGTTCCAAGCCTAATCCCAACCGGAAGAAAAAGACATTGGATGTCTTTGATGGCTGTGGTCCGCGGAAGAAGCGGCTAAGACCTCTACCTTGTCGACAGCTAAGTGCGACTCAAGCTCCTGTACTAGATGTGGCGGGAGGCGAAAGCCGAAGGGAAGAGAAGCCAAAGGACAAACGCGGAGAGAACCATGAAGGCTCAAGTGGACTAAAGCTCAGCCTACGCTCCGAAGGCGCTTTGCCGTAACGCCGTCAGAATCGCCAAGAGTGCTTTGATCTCCTTGCGCTCACAAGATTATCCTCGATTGAAATCTGGTTTTGGAAACTCACGCCATGTGATTTGGACATCCTAATCTTGAAAGTTGCACGCGTTTGCCTTTATGATAATCTTGTGTTCACTGGGATTCGAAGCCCAGATTGACGAATGCACGCTCATGGAGAAGTGTATGAAACACAAATGACTGATAATCTTTGTGCATATATATATATATGACATATCGGCGGCGCGCCGTAGTTTGTCACGGAATGTCAACGGCCGCCAGGTGAGGCCCGAGTGACCCTCTTTCAGCTGGTAGAGGGATCTAGCTTCGCCGCCATGGACAACGAGGCCGGTCTCACCTACTTCGAGATCGGCGTGCTGATCCAGCTGGGCTGGACGCTGACGAGGCTGGCGACGCTGAGTGGACAGCCCTCCATGAGCGAGGATGCTGGACGAGTAGCCAGTCAGAAGAGAAGGCGCATGGCAACTGCGGCGGAGTCCGGAGAAGTCATCGTCGGTGGCGTGCGAGGCGCTAGGTTGAGCCGGCGATTGCGGCAAGCGGATGAAGACGAGCAGGAGAGGCACAAGATCGAGAATGAGGAGAAGCAACGTTGGGTGGTGGTCCTGAAAGGTTTTGTGGAGGTGGCGGGGTGTCCCTCCACGTCCTATCCACTGGAAGGCAGCTGGTGGAAGAAGATTGCTGAGGGTCACATTTCGCTGCACTTGAGGAAGCGCGGAAAGACCTGGGCCATAGTGGCAAAGTGGCTGGAAGCTGCTTTCAGCGTAGCATGGCCGCAGTCTGCGCAGCAGATGGTGTACTTTGTCATGGCAGCGGCAAGTGAAGGAAAGTCCGCGGCCGCGCTGGAGAGGTTTCTGACCACGTTCACTTTCATGGAGGAGATTGCAGATATATCTACTGGTCGGAGGCTGGGCTCGGATTCTCAGCTGCAGCAGGTCGTGCAAGACTTGGTGACAAGCGAGCATGGGGACGCCAGTGGCAAGGTGCCCGTGGAGTGCCTGCGTGTCCATGGTGGTGGCGACGGAGGAGATCGTAATTTCCGACGAAATGCTACCTTTTCCCAGAGCTTTGGCGTGGTGCAAGGTGCTGAGGCATTGGGCGATGCTGGACATGGGTGAAGACAACTCTGTGCCGACTCACAAGATGGCTATGAGTGAGGCGGGCCTGACTGGAGAAGTTTGGGAAGCTGTTCAGGGAGCCGGCAGCAAGCAAGCCCTGCAGAGACCCTTCTTTGTGGGAAATGATGCATGGCTCAAGTGCAGGAGCTGGTTAGCCGTTGGCTGGAAGATCTGGAAGGGCTGAGTGAGCGTTCAGGTATTGCAGGGCAAGACTACGCGCTATAGCCGACTGAAGATAGTCGAGGTTTCCTTCGGAAGCGGGCCAACTACTTGGCCTCAGCGGCATTGAGCCAGGCGCTCATGAGGATGGCTTGGACATGGGATGCTGGTCGCAAGGTCGCTCCTTGTGGAATGAGAGGAGTGAGGCGAGGACATGGGTGGCCTGGGTGAAGGCCATGTCATGGCCATAGGAAGTAGAGACAATCCTACTTTCGGACAGAGCCACCATGCAGGAGGTGGCGCAGCAAGGGGCGGCGCAGAAGATTCATCAGGCCCAATATCTTCTGGCGTGCTTCATCAGGGAGAATGCCGGGGGGGAAGACCCCTTCTGAGAGAAGGCGCTTCTGGCACGGACGGTGAAGCGCACGCAAGCATTGGGCCATGAGCGAGAGGCGTGTCAGAGGAGGTCGCAGAGGCTAATTACCTTCATGCCTGCAAGGTCAGGCAATGCAAAGCCCAAGAAGGTTCAGTGGACGGAAGAGGGCCCGGCAGTCTTTGTCGAGCCAGATTATGAGGAGGACTGGGCTGAAGTGGACGTTGAGGAACAGAAGGGGACAACGGCATGGGCGCGACAAAAGGCACCCATGGAATTGGTCGAGGGCACTTTAGTTGTGGCAGTGCGCGGGCGGTCGAACACCTTCCAGCTACAGGCGACCGGGTGTAGATTTTCATGCCTATGAGGTGCTGCGGGATGCGCCCGTAAGCAAGGCACAGTTTCGCGTCGTGTGCAGGCGATGCTTTGGAGAGGGGGCGTCTCTCGGGTAGCAGTGAGAGCTCGGGGGAGGTTAAGTTAGCTCCTCCGAGGTGACGAAAGTAGGAGATTAGAGCCCGAGGCGAATGGCCGCTCCGGGCGTGGGAGCTTGCAGAGAAAATGCGCGGAGCGAGAGGAATGGCGTGTCGCGCGGGACTAAAGTGAAAACCAGAGGTCAGGTAGGCGCAGCGCGTCGAGAGGGGGTCGGGCCGTTTTCGAGTTAGCGAGGCTGAATGTCTCGTTGGTCTTGAGGTCCGACCGGATGACGTGGTTGCTGGCTGCACTGCGGTGTAGATTACTAGAGAAAGTGCAGCTTTGGGTAGGTTGTCGGACGGCAATCGATCAGGACCTTCTCATGGCAGTCGGTCGGTCACGATTTCGGTGCAGTTTTGGGTAGGTCGTCGGACGGCAGTTGATCAGGACCTTCTCAGCACGTACGCAGCGGTCGGTCATGGATCTGCCCCCCCTTTTGACCTGACTAGACTAGGCCTTGACTTTTGCTTTTTGATCTGAGGCGAGTTGTTCTGACCATTGCACATTTGGGGCAGGGTTGATTGGTTCTTGTCAACCCTGTCACGTGAGTTCGGGCTCAAGAGAGAGACGGCGTCTCAAGCCAGGTCGCTACAGTGGCGAGCGACAACGTCAAGCGATGGGGCGCTTGGAGCCAGACTTCCAAGGGCTGCTGCTCGCGCGGGGGCACGCGAGAGACCGCTTTTGTAGGAAGTTGGCTTCCTCCCAATGTTTTGCATTTGTCGTAAAGGCTAGGTAGCGAGGACTGCAGGCCTTGCTACTGGCTAAAGTGGGGGGAAGAGCAGCAAGGCCATAGAAAGATAGAATATCCCTCTTGCTGTGAGAGAGAGGTTGTCGTGAGGGCAATATGGCCCTGATGAGCTGTGCATTGAACATCAATGCGCAGAACGTTTCACGTCGCAGGATCGCTTATTGCGCAACCCCGAGAAGTGAGATGTTGCGCGACGTGAGAATGCAGTGACATACATATTTAGATATATATAAATACATACCTACGTGCATGATTTTCATGGTCTACTCGACAACCAACTGCCTGACTTGGAAAAACATTTTTTTTTTGAACTTGCTCGAGCTCTCAAGCTCAGGTTGGTTCCGATGGAGCTGGCGGACCGGCGGAGTTGATGCGTGTCTTCAAGGAGTCCATGAAGGCCGCTGAGGCGGAGTCCCAAGCCCGTGCAGCCCGAAGCTCGACTGCACCCGTCACGACCCTCGAGAGTCCCAAAGTGCCTAAGTTAGCCGAAGGCTGCTGTTGTGGATCCATGGCAAAAGGAAAGATAAGGAAAGAACAAAATCTAAATCTAAAGAAGGTCAAAAGTGGAAAACAAAAAGGACTTATATAACGAAAATGGCACCTCGCAAGACATGTTCTTTTTAATTGAATTCTTTAAACACATGAGATAATCTTTCCGTATTTTTTAAACATGTTTCAGGTCTGGCAGGCTTGGGTGAACATGTATTCATTACTGCCATAGGTTTGAACCAACGAATGTTTTGGCTCAAGTGACTTGGCCAAAATAGCGTTTGTTCTCTCTTTTTGAGGGCGGAACCCTTGGAGAGACAGTTCTTTTTTTGTGCAGGGAGGGACCCTGTTTTCCCATGAGCGAGTTGGGAACAAGCCTTGCTGCCTACACCAGGTACCAGGTGATCCACGCCGCCGCGTGGATGGAGTTCAGCGCTCACCTTCAGGAGCTGGTTGCTGAGGGGCGCGAGCGGGAAGCTTTGCGTCTCTGGGCCTCCGTGGTGGAGTTGGTGCATCTGGGGTCTCCAGGGCAACCCCTCTCCATCGCTGGGTTCCCCCCGGTTCGTCGGTTCGTATGTACCACCATTCCGTGTGCAAGGTGCACCGACCGTCGGGGCGGCTTCCAGTTCCCATGGGTGGGCGTATGGAACCGCCGCTGCTTGCTGGTTCAAGAGGGACTTGGGCCAGCGGTCGCGTGGCAGCGTTACCATGCCTCTGCGGCGCGCTTGGACCGCCTGGCGCTGCAGTGGATTGCCTTTGACCTGGGCCCGTTGGACTTCTTGCCGGTCCACGTTGGTTTGGCCGTGGAGCGGCTGGACGACGGGGACGATGGCATCGACACCGAGGAGTTCTTCGGGCTGGTTCGGCTTTGGCAGCAGGGGAGGCGGCCATGGCGGGAACCATGGTCGTCCCTGGTTGGGACCCCAGGTATTCCCCGGGAAGTCGCGAATGCAGGCCGATCCATCCGTGCGATCCTGGGGGCCGTGGCCTATGACGTTGAGTACATCCCCCCCCTCTGCCTCCTTTGTCGCCTGCCCACGTTCGAGTCCTGTCGAGTCTGTCGATCGATCGTTTGTGAAAGCTGCAACTTCTGGTCACGGCAGTGCCCGTTGTGCATCGACAGTTCTGGCTCAGACTAGTGCGATAGTCCTTGCAGGGCTCATGGCTGACAGGGCGCTATGCGGTCGAGTCAGCGGGGAGCTCCAGGTGGGACCCGGAGACCTCGTCTGAAGTGGCCCAAGCCGCCCGCGTTCGCGAGTTCAGGGAGCAATACCACCTCTTGGACGACGCGGACTTCGCCTTTGCCTTTCGGTCAGCGGAAGAGGCCTTGTTGGCCGGGGGCCGGGGATTGGCCGATGCTTGGACCAAGGCCCGCTCCGAGCAGACTGAGGAGCTGATGCCGTTGGCGGCCTCTACCGTGGAAGCTGGCTCGAGTCGCGACAGGCCGGCACATGCTCTTCACCTACCCGCTCCTCCAGTGCCTGTTCGGAAGGGAGTGACCCTTTCTCAACAAGCTTTCAGTGCTGACAGTGTGAACAGGCGAGTGGAAGCGCTGGCCAAGGTGTTTGAGGACGCCGGGATTCATCGCCCTTCCGTGGGGAACCTCTCAGATGCGATCCTAGCGGAGTGGAAACTGCAACTCACTCGATTGGCGCAGGTCAAAGTGACCAAATCGGAACCTCAGACAGTGGCGAACGCTGTGCGCACGTGGTCGGAATTGGTCAGCTTTATGCGTTCTCGAGATAGGACTACGATCGAGCATTTGGATTTGGCGTCATTCCTGGCCTCCGGCTCCAAAGGACCTAAGCGGGCATTGAACTCGCTTCGCTGGTTGAATAAACTGGGGCATTTGGGGTGGCAGTTGGATGCGATCGTGCTGGATCCACCTGCCTCACGGCGGGCCGCTGCGCGATCCCAGGCTCTCGTTGTCGAGCCGCCCATGCTCACCCACTTGGAGCGTGGCATCAAGGAAGCCTTCACCCGACAGGACCCTCGCTGGACTGCGATGCTGGGAAGTTGGATCGTTGGCGTAGGGGTCCTACGCTACCGGCATGTCCAACGTGCTCAGATGGTGCGATTGTCCCGCTCAACGATGTACTGCCATTGCCCCAAAGGGAAGCAGGCGAGCAAACGTGATGGCTTCGACTTCTCCATCCCTTCGCAGTTCACAGATGGCTGGCCCTGGGCGGAGCATGTGGTGGCCCTTCGGAACCAGTTGCCCGAGGCCCAACGAGATGAAGGCGGCCTCTGCTTCAATCGGGAAGGCCGCGCGTGGGACATCTCTGAGGTGCAAGCCGCAGGTCGTGAGCTGTTCCAGGACCTTGTGACCGACGTGGCAGACCTCTCCACCTACTCGTGGCGCCGGCTCATGCCCACGGTGGCGTTGCTGGCCAAGTACACCCCGGTTGAGATGGTGGCCTTGGGGGATTGGCAATCCAAGAGTGAGCTACCTCAGGAGGCCGCCATGCCGACACACTACGCAGGCAGCCGTGATCTCGTTAGCATGAGGCTCAAACATCTGTCGCTGGGACTTGTCGCCAGGTTGGGCGAATTTGATGCCTGGGAACTGGCAACTCCAGCCGCCATCACTGCCGCAGTGGACGCGGCCAAGCCCGAGGTGCAGCGGGCAGTGAGCCTCGACAAGCACAGCTTGTGGGACAAGCCGATGTCGGTGGCAGCAGCGCAGCGCGCGTTCGCTTTCTCGCGAGAGCGTGCAGCGCTCACAAGAGCGGCACAAGCTAGTTCCAAGCGCTCCGAAGCTGTGATGCCCCCTTCCATCAATGGCAAGGTGGTCACCCGTTTCCTGAGGAACGGCAAGGCGCTATGCCCCAACTTTCAGTTGGACGCCTGCCACGTGGGCGAGGGAACCTGTGGTGAAGCCCACCTTTGTGCCATCGTGCTGAAGACTGGCCGTGCCTGCGGAGGGAAGCATCCAGCTCAGGCTTGCTTGGCAAAGCGCTATGTGGTGGCCGAGGACGTCGAGCACACCCCTCTGGCGAACGTCGCAGTGCCCAGCACCGCAGAGCCAGTCGCTCTCCCCGTGGCCGACGCCCCTGAGGCTCCACATCGATCATCATCGCCAGAGAGCACCTCCAGTGAAGATGAGTCCTCAGCAGGCCCTCGCTCCCCGAGCGCGTCCCCGAGTCCAGTCCCTGTTCCCAAGACCAAGAAGCCGCGCACCGTGCCACCCCCGGACACTGAGGCAGTACCCTCTCCAGCGCAGCCCGTGGCGCCCAAGGCAATGCCGCCCGCGGTGGCAGCGACAGCTGCGGCGCCCAAAGCCTCGGAGGTCATTCCACCATGGCGAGCAGCAGCAGCCGAAGCAACGGAGGCTCCCAGCGACATCTTCGAGATGCCCGAGCCCCCGGCCGCGTTCACACCCAATGTGCACGACCAGCGGTGGGACCGCTTGGCCACTGTGCGGGGGAAGAGCGCGCAGGCGCCGACCAAAGTGCTGTCCGTCCAAAGTGGCGGCACGTTGTGGTTGGGTGGATTGCCTACGAACAGGTCAGCATCAGCCTTTCCATCCGTCACTCTTCAAGTGGCATGCATGCTTGAGGAGCCTTCGCAGCGGGGTGGCATTTGCTTGCAGGGAGCGACCCTGCGCAAGTTCGCTATCGCCCACCCTGATAGGCGAGACGAGCAATGGCGCGACCTGTTTCCGCTCCTGTGCAATACGTTGTGGGGAGGTGAGGATGTGCTCCTCCACTGCATTAGTGGCCGGCATCGCGCGGCGGGTACCGCGTGTATGATCCGAGCCATTCTGCTCCGGGAGCGCTTTGAAGCAGCTTGGGACTACTTGGCAAGTGTGAGGGATGTCGACATCCAAGGCTTGCTGAGAGACAGGGCCTTGGCTGGTTGGATCCATGAGACCCTTCGCACATCTAGTCTGGGCAATGCCTGGCCCCGGCCAACCGGATACATCGCGACCGCCCGCAGTCAGCTGCACATCCAGGGCTATGAGGACACTCCCCTCTGCTCACATCGCCAGAGCGGCCAGAAGAGCAAAGGGCGTTTGGCAAACCCGTCGAAGTGTACCTCGAAGATGGAGGCGATTGCCTGGGGCAGGCCAACATGCCAAGTTTGTGCCAATAGAGCACCAGCCTCCTGGATCCCTTGAGGAGGCTGTGGCACCTGTTTTCATCTCGTCGCACAGCGACACATAAGAGCAGCTAGCCCCCTTTTGGCGATGGAGCGATCCGTTGCCCGTGGCGAGCTTGACCAAGACAGCGTGAAAACAGAGTGCAGTCTCCTGACAGGGGCATTCGGCGAGGGGGGAGTTTCGCCTAGGCGGGTAGGATCGAGGTGCAGGGAGAATTGTCCGAGCCGCAGAAGCATGTCCATGAGGACGTCGTTCGGTCTGTCCCTATGTCTTCCTTCCCCCCCCGTCTCCGGACTCGTCACGGCCGTAGTCATTGTGCAGGAGGAGAGGGACTCCTCCGAGCGGGCAGCTTTGGCTTAGGCGCGTGGGAAGGGATCCCCGAGACAGCATGGCTAGTTCTTTGAGCTTAGTGCCGAGGGAGTCTTCGAGGATTGAAGATTCTCTGAAGGCGCTAGGCACGAACTTCAGCCTTGACCCTGTTGTTGTGGAAGCCTTGATCAAGACCGGTATCTCTAATTTTGAAGAATTTCGATTTTTCTTTGACAGTGAGGGCGCGGTTGAGCCATGGCTCTCAAAGCTGTCGCTTGGGGATGGCAAGATGCTTCAGGTGTCCCGCTTGCGGCGGGCATGGCACGCCATCACCCTCTATTTCAGGCAAATGGAGCAAGATCGCTCCAAGGTGGCCTCTGATGACCTCGATTCCATGCTTGGAGAGACCGAGCTGAGGGACACCAAGGTCAGCTTCTGGCGGAGGTACCGCCAACGATTTCCCCCGGAAGTGCATCCGTCTGACTCCACCCTCTCGAGGGTGAGCCGAGAGATGAGCAAGCGGATGCTGTGCGTGTTCTCCATATGGAAGGTCAAGTCCTTGCAGTTTCAATTGATGACTACGCAGAAGAAGCGCAAACTCGGCGACAACTTGTTCACTGAGGAAGTTGAAGAAGAAGAGCCGTCTGCCCGTGACACCGAGGCCTATTTGGATAAGTTGCAGACGTTGATGGTGGCGTACTCCATGGCAGGGGTGGGACCTTTGCCTGCGCCAGGGCCAGGGTTTGATCCCAAAGAAGAATTGTCTTTGGGAGCAGACAGCACTCGATTCGCCCAAGTGCCACTGGACATCGCAATGCAATATTTCTTTCAAGCGAAACGAGCCACTGCCGCACTCCCTCCAGGCAAACGGCTGGCATGGCTCCAAACACGTGATGCCGAAGAACGGGCAGAGTGGACGGCACGCTTTAGGGAAAGCTCTCAGTCGCTTGGCGTCATTATTAAAGAAGTCTACCAAGCGCGAGATGCACACTGGCTGCCGCCCACACCAGCAGAGCCAGCGTCCACCGCCCCGGGGAAGAGCGCTCCGCCAGCAGCCGCTCCAACGGCCTCCAAGTTTGCATTGGGGAAATCGATCCAAGGCAAACAAGTAGCCAGGGTACTCCGTGATGGGACGCTCCTTTGCCAGGCATTCCAGGAAGGATCTTGCAAGAGTAAGGGGGGCAAATGCAAGCTTGGTCAACATCGTTGCGGCCACGTTACCAAGAAGGAGAGGGTGTGTGGAGCTCCGAACCATGGGGCAGCAGCTTGCCGCAACACCCCGAAGGCCTGACGGGGCCTTGAAGAGGCAGCGGCAGCCTCTTCAGGGTCTGTTGAGGATCCGCCGCAATCAGGGGAGGGACCCCTGATGGCCGACCTGATGTCAGGACCCAATGCACCGCTTACCAGAGCCTTCATCTTTTGCGGTTGGAGATGCATCACCATCGACTGGTTGATCAACCCTCAACATGACCTCGCGCACCCGGAGTTTCAGCAAGAGCTTCACGAGATGTTGCAGCAAGCCGATTGTATCTGTGCCGCTTTGGACTGTAGCACCAAGTCCCGCGCCCGAGAGATTCCCAGGAAGTTCGAGGACGGCCGACCCGCTCCGAAACCCCTGCGATCAGACGAACACCCCACAGGCCTTCCACACCTCCGAGGGAGTGACCTTCGGCGAGTGACCAAGGACAACCAGGCCTGTGACTTTGTCCTCCAGGAGATCCAGGAATTGGCCGATCGTGGTGGAGTGTCACTGCGGGAGAATCCGGCGAGGAGCCTCCATTGGGAACTGCCCCGTGAGAAGCAGATGTTGGCGTCCGGCGATTGGCAGGACACCTGCTACGCAGCATGTTGCTTCATGGGGGCGCGGTGCAAGCAGCAGAGACTCAGGCACAACATCCAGGAGATCTCCCAGTGGCCGCACTCCAATGCCATCATCAGCACGACCCAGATGAGTGGAAGCCCTACACCTTGGATGGGCAGCGAGTCTTCCCTAGCCATGAGGAAGCTGAGTACACAGCCCCGCTGGCCTTCGCCATTGCGGTGTCCACTAGTTGGTGGGCAGTACGTGTTGGTCGAGCCAAGTTGCGCGTCCCTCGGATGCCGCCGACTGAGGCTGTGGGCCGCCGGGAGCACTGGCTTCACTATGACCCCCGCTCTATGCGCAGCTGGGCTATGACTCCTTTGGCGATCCAGCTGGGCCTGCGACCAATAGACCCGCGCGAGCGAGCACGGGTGCCTCGCGTGCGTCGAGCAGTCGACCTCTTGGTGGATGGCCACCTTCCCGCCAAGTGCATCTACGTAGGGCGAGGGCATCACAGCCACAAGTTGCCCCTGTCGAAATGGTGCTCTCCGTACACCCCAGGGCATGATTGTACCGCAGATGAATGGCTTCCTTGCTATGTTGAGTTCATCATGTCATCCAAGGCGGCGGAACTCCCAGAGCTGGCGGGCTGCACCTTAGCCTGTGATTGCCCACATGACAGTGACGTTTGCGAAGCCGATGCGCTGGCAGGGTTGGTTTTCGACGCCACAGCCCCGGAAGCACCTCGTTACTTGGCAGCGGCAGGCGGGCAAGCCCAGAGGCATCACTCGACAGCATCTCGAGCATTGCGGTTGGGGGTCATCTCCAGCCGCGGAGTGGCTGCGAGCATCCCAGCACGAGTGGGCCTATTCACCCAAGAAGGCGTTGTCACGTGCTTCCGCCGCCTCTTCCCAGGTACATGGTTCCAGGATTTCAAGTTCCCGATGATCGAAGACCTCCTGAATCAGGCGCCGTTCTGCGAGTTTCCACGCTGGAGAGACCAGCACGATCTCAAGGCAGATGGGCCCCTGGGACCACATTTGGCTAGCGCAGCTCTGAGGCAGCGGCAACGTCATGCCGAGGGCCAGCAAGCCGGAGCTTTGAGCCATAAAGCCGCCCTACCTCCGCTTTTGAGTTTTGGGCTGGACCCGGACACCCACTTTCAGCGTGCTTGCCTTCGAAGCCAGGCACCCATCCTGACTGAGCAGTCGCCCCCTTCTGGACGATGATCTATGGTTTGTGGCTGAACTCTATGCATCACGTTCCGAAGACCTACCACGACTCCGCGAGCAGAGCCTAGGCATCTTGAAGGAGCTGAAGCAGCGATGGAGGAGCGTGGGCGAGCACCTGCGGACTTTCCAAACATCAGCGATTCGGGCAGTCACCCGTTCCAGGGACATCGGACTAACAGCCCTCTTGGTGACCCTAACGTCCTGGGCGGATATCACGTACCCTTACGGCTTGGTAGCGGGACTGCCAGCTGTAGGTACGGCACCACCCTACGGGGTCTTTCCGGAGCAGCCAGGTCGTATCCTCACCATGGAGGACGTGCTCGGCGACTGGGAAACCCACAATTACAAGACCCTCGCCTCGCTCAAACCCGGCAGACATGATGCCGTGCTGCTGGAGCAATCGCTGAATGATGCCGCCCAAGGCTTCTGCTCTGCACCGTTGACCCAGGCGCAGCTCCTACGAGAACTACGAGGAGAACCATTCCGCCTCATCCCCCGATGTGTGATTGTCCAATCCTCGGGCAAAAAGCGGATCATTGATAATGGAGATACAGGAGGCCAGTCTGAGAGATCTTCGGATTGGAACAAGTTGGTTCTATGCTCGCCGTTGCGCCCTGCACAACATGTGGGGGCGGTTGCTTCACTGTTGACAGACAAACAGTGGCATACTCTTACGACTGCTGACGAGTGGCAGTCAGGAGGGGAAGATTGGCCGAACGCGTATCGGCATTCCCCTATCAGTCAGGCAGAGAGCCGCGGCTGTATCGTCTGCTTCTGGCATGCTGAGCGGGGGGAACCCGCCTTTCAGGTGTATTCATCCCTCCTCTTCGGCCTCCCGCTCGCGGTTACATCGTTCAATCGGTATTCCCGCCTCATTGAAGCACTGGGCCGACGGCTTACATACAGTCTGGTGTCGCTCTATTTCGATGACGCCCACATCACGGACCCCCAGTCAGGCTTCGGCTCCAGCCAACAAGCTTTCTGTCAGTTGAACACCCTCTTAGGTACCCCGTTTGCCGAGGAGAAGAAACAGTTGATGCAGCCTACCGGTACCTTCCTGGGCCTTGATCACGACTTTACGAACCTCAGTCGGGGCTTCGTGACGTTTTGGGCCCGCGATCGATTGATTCAGAAGACAGCTGCGATGATTACCGAGGCACAGGCACACAACAGCCTGTCCTCAGGCCAGGCATCCAAGCTCTACGGCATGCTCAATTTTCTCGAGCAGGGCATGTACGGAAGGTTGGGATGCGCAGGTCTGGCAGCCATTAAAGCACGCCAGACAGAGCGCAACCGCGACCTCACTCCAGAGCTTCAGCGCAACTTCGATGTGATTCACTCCATCCTTCGCCATCGACCCTGTTGAGAACTTCCCGTGAGGCCGTCCGAATGTTTGCGGTTTGTTGTAGCTTCTGACGCAGCTTTGGAGGAACCAAAGCAGGGCACAGGAGGATTTTTAATCGTCTGGCACGATCCGGTGGGACCGGTTCGGGAAGCCTTCATCGCCAACATTTCTCCGGAAGTTTACCAGCTGTGGGAGCCTGGTGACAGGCAGATAGCCCAGTTGGAGATGGTGATGATCATTTATGCCCTCACTATCGGGCGCAGGCCTTTCGAGGTCGTCGAGGCATCTGGCTGATCGACAACGTCGCTAGCCTCATGTGTCTGATTCGGGGCCGTTCCCAGTCACCTGATCTGGAGCGCATGTGTGGTTTGATTCATGTCATGCTGTACGCTTTGCGTACCTGGATGTATTGGGAATACATTCCGTCTAAGAGTAATTGGGCCGACGCCATTTCAAGACTAGGTTGGTCCGATCCGTGGTGGCGAACCAACGGATTCACCCCTTTTTCCGTCTCTTGCCCTCTCTGCCTTTGGCACCTTCCGCTGCCAGCAGTGATCCGAGTCGTAGAATTTCTCTAAGTGCGTTGGGAGGATTTGAAGTGCATTGGGAGTGGTTTCCGGAGTGACCGGAAGGATACCACAAGGGTCTGATT